ATCTACCTTGTCTACTAGAAAAATGATAGGATGGATAACGAGAACCTTCAAAACTATAGACGTAAAGCCAATGATGATTCTCTTCAAATCGCTTGTTCTCTCTAGGCTGGAATACTGCTGTACACTGACTGCCCCCTTCAAGGCAGGTGAAATTGCTGACCTGGAGACTGTACAGAGAACTTTCACGACACATCTAAGTACGATAAAGCACCTAAATTACTGGGAATGGTTTGAAGTCCCTTGATTTGTATTCCCTGGAACACAGGCGAGAAAGATACATAATATACACTTGGAAAATCCTAGAGGGATTAGTACTAAATTTACACACGAAAACCACTCCCTACAAAAACAAAACACTCGCCAGGAAATGCAACATCCCCCCAATGAAAAGCAGGGGCGCCACGAGAGAACACAGTGAGTGTCACGGGCCCAAGACTGTTCAACTGCCTCCCAGCATATGTATGGAGGATTACCAATAGACCCCTGGTTGTCTTCATGAAGGTACTGGACAGGCACCTAAAGTCAGTACTTGATCGGCCGGGCTGCGCTTCGTACGTCGGTTTACGTGCGGCCAACAGAAATAGCCTGGTTGATCAGACCGTGATCCACCACGAGGCCTGGTCACAAACCGCGTCGCGGGGGCGTTGATCCCCGAAACCCTCTCCAGGTATACTCCAGGTATCCCCCTACATTGCAATCCTGGCTGCGCCACTGCACAACAGCCAGCAATCCTTCTTTCTGAAACACTTCGTTCATATTTAGTCGCTCTATATTCGACTGAAGAAGTCTACGGTGAAGGCGAAATATTTTGGAAATAAAGATACCTCGCTACTACACGTGTCTTTCTCATGCCTCAAGTAAGATCCAGTCTCCTTTTGACAGAGGAACACTACAAGTAAGATCCAGTCTCCTTTTGACAGAGGAACACTACAAGTGAGATCCAGTCTCCTTTTGACAGAGGAACACTACAAGTGAGATCCAGTCTCCTTTTGACAGAGGAACACTACAAGTGAGATCCAGTCTCCTGGTGAAGCAACACCACAAGATCCAGTCTCCTGGTGAAGCAACATCACAAGTAAGATCCAGTCTCCTGGTGAAGCAACATCACAAGTAAGATCCAGTCTCCTGGTGAAGCAACACCACAAGTAAGATCCAGTCTCCTGGTGAAGCAACACCACAAGTGAGATCCAGTCTCCTGGTGAAGTAACACCACAAGTAAGATCCAGTCTCCTGGTGAAGCAACACCACAAGATCCAGTCTCCTGGTGAAGCAACATCACAAGTAAGATCCAGTCTCCTGGTGAAGCAACACCACAAGTAAGATCCAGTCTCCTGGTGAAGCAACACCACAAGTAAGATCCAGTCTCCTGGTGAAGCAACACCACAAGTAAGATCCAGTCTCCTGGTGAAGCAACACCACAAGTAAGATCCAGTCTCCTGGTGAAGCAACACCACAAGTAACATCCAGTCTCCTGGTGGAGTAACACTACAAGTAAGACCCAGTCTCCTGTGGAGCAACACCACAAGTAAGATCCAGTCTCCTGGTAGAGTAACACCCCAAGTAAGACCCAGTCTCCTGTGGAGCAACATCACAAGTAAGATCCAGTCTTCTGGTGAAGTAACACCACAAGTAAGATCCAGTCTCCTGGTGGATCAACACCATCACAACACCACAAGATCCAGTCTCCTGGTGGAGCAACACCACCATCACGACACCACAAGATCCAGTCTCCTGGTGGAGCAACACCACCATCACAACACCACAAGATTCAGTCTCATGGTGGAGCAACACCACCGTCACAACACCACAAGATCCAGTCTTCTGGTGGAACAACGCCACCATCACAACACCACAAGATCCAGTCTCCTGGTGGAGCAACACCACCATCACAACACCACAAGATCCAGTCTCCTGGTGGAGCAACACCACAAGATCCAGTCTCCTGGTGGAGCAACACCACCATCACAACACCACAAGATCCCGTCTCCTGGTGTAGCAACACCACCATCACAACACCACAAGGTCCAGTCTCCTGGTGGAGCAACACCATCACAACACCACAAGATCCAGTCTCCTGGTGTAGCAACACCACCATCACAACACCACAAGATCCAGTCTCCTGGTGGAGCAACACCACAAGATCTGGTCTGCCCAAATTGCTTTGCATTATCAGGAGCTTTCTATTAAGTCAATAATATCACCGTTTCCAAAAAAATCGTAATCCATAACTTGACGGGACACCACTACCACCATCACGACACCACAGCAAGACAAGTACAAGAACACAGCCGTACAGAGAACCCTCACTGGCACCACAGACCCTGCCTTAGGAGGTCAGTGTCAAGAACCTTCCTTGAGAGGTCAGTGTCAATAACCTTGCTTGAAAGGTTAGTGTCAAGAACCTTTCTTGAAAGGTCAGTGTCAATCTTCCTTGAAAGGTCAGTGTCATGAACCTTGTTTGAGAGGTGTGTCAAGACCTTCCTTGAAAGGTCAATGTCAAGAACTTTGCTTAAAAGGTCAGTGTTAAGAACCTTGCTTGAAAGGCCAGTGTCAAGAACCTTCCTTGAGAGGTCAATGTCAAGAACCTTCCTTGAGAGGTCGGTGTCAAGAACCTTCCTTGAGAGGTCAGTGTCAAGAACCTTCCTTGAGAGGTCAATGTCAAGAACCTTCCTTGAGAGGTCAGTGTCATGAACCTTGCTTGAGAGGTCAATGTCAAGAACCTTCCTTGAGAGGTCAGTGTCAAGAACCTTCCTTGAGAGGTCAGTGTCAAGAACCTTCCTTGAGAGGTCGGTGTCAAGAACCTTCCTTGAGAGGTCAGTGTCAAGAACCTTCCTTGAGAGATCAGTGTCAAGAACCTTGCTTGAGAGGTCAGTGTCAAGAACCTTCCTTGAGAGGTCAGTGTCAAGAACCTTCCTTGAGAGATCAGTGTCAAGAACCTTCCTTGAGAGGTCAGTGTCAAGAACCTTGCTTGAGAGGTCAATGTCAAGAACCTTCCTTGAGAGGTCAGTGTCAAGAACCTTCCTTGAGAGGTCAGTGTCAAGAACCTTCCTTGAGAGGTTGGTGTCAAGAACCTTCCTTGAGAGGTCGGTGTCAAGAACCTTCCTTGAGAGGTCAGTGTCAAGAACCTTCCTTGAGAGGTCAGTGTCAAGAACCTTCCTTGAGAGGTCGGTGTCAAGAACCTTCCTTGAGAGGTCAGTGTCAAGAACCTTCCTTGAGAGGTCAGTGTCAAGAACCTTCCTTGAGAGGTCAATGTCAAGAACCTTCCTTGAGAGGTCAGTGTCAAGAACCTTCCTTGAGAGGTCAGTGTCAAGAACCTTCCTTGAGAGGTCAGTGTCAAGAACCTTCCTTGAGAGGTCGGTGTCAAGAACCTTCCTTGAGAGGTCAGTGTCAAGAACCTTCCTTGAGAGGTCGGTGTCAAGAACCTTCCTTGAGAGGTCAGTGTCAAGAACCTTCCTTGAGAGGTCAGGTGTCAAGAACCTTCCTTGAGAGGTCGGTGTCAAGAACCTTCCTTGAGAGGTCAGTGTCAAGAACCTTCCTTGAGAGGTCGGTATCAAGAACCTTCCTTGAGAGGTCAGTGTCAAGAACCTTCCTTGAGAGGTCAATGTCAAGAACCTTCCTTGAGAGGTCAGTGTCAAGAACCTTCCTTGAGAGGTCGGTGTCAAGAACCTTCCTTGAGAGGTCAGTGTCAAGAACCTTCCTTGAGAGGTCAGTGTCAAGAACCTTCCTTGAGAGGTCAGTGTCAAGAACCTTCCTTGAGAGGTCAGTGTCAAGAACCTTCCTTGAGAGGTCGGTGTCAAGAACCTTCCTTGAGAGGTCAGTGTCAAGAACCTTCCTTGAGAGGTCGGTGTCAAGAACCTTCCTTGTGAGGTCAGTGTCAAGAACCTTCCTTGAGAGGTCAGTGTCAAGAACCTTCCTTGAGAGGTCAGTGTCAAGAACCTTCCTTGAGAGGTCAGTGTCAAGAACCTTCCTTGAGAGGTCGGTGTCAAGAACCTTCCTTGAGAGGTCAGTGTCAAGAACCTTCCTTGAGAGGTCAGTGTCAAGAACCTTCCTTGAGAGGTCGGTGTCAAGAACCTTCCTTGAGAGGTCAGTGTCAAGAACCTTCCTTGAGAGGTCGGTGTCAAGAACCTTCCTTGAGAGGTCAGTGTCAAGAACCTTCCTTGAGAGGTCAGTGTCAAGAACCTTCCTTGAGAGGTCGGTGTCAAGAACCTTCCTTGAGAGGTCAGTGTCAAGAACCTTCCTTGAGAGGTCGGTGTCAAGAACCTTCCTTGAGAGGTCAGTGTCAAGAACCTTGTTTGATACACTGCGTTGTCTTCTCAAACTATGTGTATACTCTCAGTTGGCATATGGGGTTTAAAGTCTACCGACTAAAATAGGGCTATTAAAAGCTACATCTAACCCTTTCACCACCAGAGAATACTTTAATCAATAATATAGGGATCAAGGTAAACTCAAGGTATATATATAATGCTGAAATATACATCTCTGTGTATACATCCTGTATATACTCTTCTCGATTTTTTTACACTTAGCCTATCTTTATTTTTACTATTTTTGCACACTAAGCCTATCTTATTTTTGCATTTTTTTTACAATAACCTTACCTTTTAGTTACGCTGTATTCATTAAGCCTGGTAATACAGACCATGTGTTATAGTGATAATCTTGCTTAAACACTGCAACACAATTACCATAAGTTTTTCACATTATAATTACATATAAAACGTAGAGCAGGTTTACTGGCAGCTGAGGCGCCCTGCTGCCTCCTCTGTGCTACTCAGAGACTGTCACGCCCAAGTTTATTCCAACACAATACACTAGATGAATTATTGTGTTCCTCTGACGTAAATTGCATATTATTTTATGATTTATTAAAAGTAACGTCACTTCATGCATACCTCTGAGCATATACACAGAGAAAGAAATAGTTAGGTATATATACATTAAGATAGCAACGTGTATATGTTCCTGTGTCAAATAAGTGTGGTTCTGTGTATGTGTAGAGTACGGGGCTGCACATGACCTACGAGGACAACAAGGAGTGGATCCACAGCTCTGCACGAGATTGGGTGAAGAGTGGAGTGTCTGTGGTGGCCAGAGAGCCCACCACCAAGAAAGTGGCTGGCTCCATCCTTGCCACAATACTCACCAGGGACCAGAGCAACACCTATGCCAAGGCTCTCACCAGTCCAAAAACCAAGGTGAATACTATTAACCACTTGTCTAGAATGTAAGATCTATTAAAAACCTATTCTACATAGTGCGAATGTTTTTAAAGAGTGCAAAGAAATTTAAATAACACGAGAAAAGACCTTCATAGAATGTGTTATTCAATTTAGAATGAACAAAATGATTGAGATTAAAGCTAAAAAAAAATATCCAACTAAATATTATATAAAGATATATACAATGAAGCGCAAAGAAATTTCCGAGTCTTGACAATGACGGTAAAGTTGAAGTTAGCAAACACATCCAACACATATCTGAGATAAAGTTTTTAAAACAATGTACATATTCTGGTATGAACTGCAACAAACACTACTCTGTACTACTCCTTAACGTACACTTACCTCACTTACGATATAGTGTGATGTAAGTAGTCTGTAACTACTAGTTAGTCTGCAATGAATCATAACAAGGCACATTCGTCAAACATATAAAAACTGTAATTACAAAACTGTATCGAATGTATACACAGACACACTGTGTATACAGGTATAGAATATTTGGTATTTGATTCTTAATAATGCTGTTCATAGAAATGTACGTGTAACATTCACCGTATGTGACAATAAGACGGTGAGCGTATGTGACGACCATTGCTGTGTAGTGACCACTGTGTGTGTGTGTGTGTACTCACCTATTGGTACTCACCTATTTGTGGTTGCAGGGGTCGAGTCACAGCTCCTGGCCCCGCCTCTTCGCTGATTGCTACTAGGTCCTCTCTCTCCCTGCCCCATGAGCTTTATCATACCTCGCCTTAAAACTATGTATGGTTCCTGCCTCCACTACATCCCTTTCTAGGCTATTCCATGGCCTGACTACTCTATGACTGAAGAAATACTTCCTAACATCCCTTTGATTCATCTGAGTCTTCAACTTCCAATTGTGACCTCTTGTGTCTGTGTCCCATCTCTGGAACATCCCGTCTTTGTCCACCTTGTCTATTCCGTGCAATATTTTATATGTCGTTATCATGTTCCCCTGACCCTCCTGTCCCCCAGTGTTTGTCAGGCCGATTTCACTCAACCTTTCTTTGTAGGACAATCCCCGTAGCTCTGGGACTAGTCTTGTTGCAAACCTTTGCACTTTCTCTAATTTCTTGACGTGCTTTGACTAGGTGTGGATTCCAAACTGGTGCTGCCCTACTCCAGTATGGGCCTGACGTAGATGGTATAAGAAGTCTTAAAGGAATCCTTATCGAGGTATCGGAACGCTATCCCTAGGTTTGCCCGGCGCCCGTATGCTGCAGCAGTTATCTATTGATGTGTGCCTCAGGAGATATGCTCGGTGTTATACTCACCCCCAGATCTTTTTCCTTGAGTGAGGTTTGCAGTCCTTGGCCATCTAACTATATTGGTCTGCGGTCTTCTTTGCCTTCCCCCAATCTTCATGACTTTGCATTTTGGCAGGGTTAAATTCAAGGAGCCAGTTGCTGGGCCAGGCTTGTAGCCTGTCCAGGTCTCTTTTGGTCCTGCCGATCCTCGTCCGATTTGATTCTTCTCATTAACTTCGCATCATCTGCAAACAAAGGACATCTGAGTCTATCCCTTCCGTTATGTCGTTCACATATACCAAGAACAGAACAGGTCCTAGGAGTGACCCCTGTGGAACCCCGTTTGTCACAGGCGCCCACTTTGACACCTCGTCACGTACCATGACTCGTTGTTGCCTCCCTGTCAGATATTCTCTGATCCATTGCAGTGCCTTCCCTGTTATGTGTGCCTGATCCTCTAGCTTTTGCAGTAACCTCTTGTGAGGAACTGTGTCGAAGGCCTTCTTGCAGTCCAAAAATATGCAGTCGATCCACCCCTCTCTCTCTTGTCTTACTTCTGTCACCTTGTCATAAAACTCTAGTAGGTTTGTGACACTGGATTTTCCTTCCCTGAAACCATGCTGGTTGTCAATTATACACTTGTTTCTTTCCAGGTGCCCCACCACTCTCCTCTTGATGATCTTCTCCATGACCTTGCATACTATACACGTTAGTGATACAGGTCTGTAGTTTAGTGCCTCATGTCTGTCTCCCTTTTTAAAAATTGGGACTACATTTGCCATTTTCCATACCTCAGGGAGTTGCCCAGTTTCAAATGATGTGTTGAAGATCTTTGTTAATGGCTCACACAATATCTCTGCTCCCTCTTTAAGGACCCATGGAGAGATGTTGTCTGGTCCCACCGCCTTTGAGGTGTCAAGTTCGCATAGCAGCTTCTTCACCTCCTCCTTGGTTATATGTACCTCATCCAGCACTTGCTGGTGTGCCCCCCAGTTCTGATTTCTTGGAGTCCTACTGGTTTCCACTGTAAATACCTCTTTAAATCTTGTGTTGAGCTCCTGACAAACCTCTCGGTCGTTTCTTGTGAATTCCCCATCACCCTTCCTCAGTCTGATTACCTGGTCCTTGACTGTTGTTTTCCTCCTGATGTGGCTGTACAACAGCTTCAGGTCAGTCTTTACTTTTGATGCTATGTCATTTTCATATTGTCTCTGAGCCTCCCTTCTTATCTGTGCATATTCGTTTCTGGCTCTTCGGCTGATTTCTTTATTTTCCTGAGTTCTCTGTCTTCTGTACCTTTTCCATTCTCTAGTACACCTAGTTTTTGCCTCCCTACACCTTTGGGTGAACCAAGGACTCGTTCTGTTCTTCCCATTATTTCTGTTTCCCTTGGGAACAAACCTCTCCTCTGCCTCCTTGCATTTTGTTGCTACATAGTCCATCATTTCTTGTACTGGTTTTCCTGCCAGTTCCCTCTCCCACTGAATGTCTTGAAGGAAGTTCCTCATGCCTGAGTAGTTCCCCCTTTTGTAGTTTGGTTTTACCAGTCTATTCCTGCTACTCTCTCCACTTGGAGCTCAACTATGTAGTCGAAGCACAGAACCACATGATCACTAGCTCCCAGGGGCCTTTCATACATGATACCCTCGATGTCCGAACTACTCATGGTGAATACAAGGTCCAGCCTTGCTGGTTCATCCTCTCCTCTCTCTCTGGTAGTGTCTCTAACATGTTGATGCATGAGGTTTTCCAGTACCACATCCATCATTTTGGCTCTCCATGTTTCGGGACCCCCATGGGGCTCCAGGTTTTCCCAGTCAATCTCCTTGTGATTGAAATCACCCATAACTAGTAACTTTGCTCCCCCCATGTGTGCTCTGCTGGCCACCTCGGCTAGTGTGTCGAGCATTGCTCTGTTGCTCTCATCGTATTCTTCTCTTGGCCTCCTGCAGTTCTGTGGTGGGTTGTACATTACTGCAATTATCACCTTATGTCCCTCAGACTGGATTGTTCCTACTAAGTAGTCCCTTTCGCCTGTGCCATCCATTCCTTCCATTTTCTCAAAACCCCACCGGTTTTTAATGAGCAGTGCAACTCCTCCTCCCCCTCTCCTCCCTCTGTCTTTCCTGAGGATTTGATATCCGGATGGAAAGATTGAATCTGTTATTATTCTGGTGAGTTTTGTTTCTGTGAGTGCTATTATGTCTGGGGATGTCTCTTTGATTCTTTCGTGCCACTCCTCATACTTGTTTGTTATTCCATCTGCATTTGTATACCACACCTTCAACTTCTTTTCTAAGACTGTGGTCTGGGAGGTATATTGGGGTTGGGGAAGTGGGAGACCTGGTAAGGAACTATGGGTTGTTGCTGTGGGGATGGAGTTTGTAATGTAGTGGGTGGGGGCATTGGATGTGGCATGGGTGTTTTGATTTAGAGTGTTTGGTTGCACTGGGGTTGACCTGGTTGGGAGGCTTCTATAGGAAGTTGTGAGGGAGGCTGTATTTGATCTTCTTCCTGGGTCTGGGATCTCCTGTCTGTCTTCTCCATCCCCTCTCTTTCCTCCTTTTGCCTTTGTACCATCTCTCTCAGTTTCTGCCTTTCTTCTTGTGTTCTGTCGCGGTCGAGATACACCTTCCTGTATGCCGGCATGTCCCTTAATCGTGCTTTCTCCTGCAGGATCCTGGTCCGAGTCGCTTCTGCCTTGAAGGTCACTCTCACTGGCCGGGTTCTTTTTTTTACAAACCCCCCTATTCTCCGAAAATTTTCCAGCTGGGTCATGTTGTCTTCTCCTATTGCTTTCATGATGCTTTCAATTGCTTTTTTTCCCCTTGTTTTCTTGCTTCATATGTTTCCCCTTAAACTTCCTGGAGCCCATACACAAAGACTGACCTCACCCTTTCTTTCTCCCACCGCATATCCCTGTGTATCCCCTCATTTAATTTGGTTTCCTCCACTGCAGCTTTCCTTTCATCAGTTTCACTGGCTAATGTATTTGGGCTCAGTGGCCTGTCATTTTCCCTTCTCGGCTTTCCTTGGGCTCTGTTGTCTGTTAGGGCCTCCACATAAAGCTTAGCTCTTTCATTTGCTACAGTCTCCTCTGATAGAGCTTCTCCATGCAGTTGTGCCCCTTCTTTCCCTACAGTTCCCTTATTTGTGGCTGAGGTAGCAGTCTCTGTTGTCAATCCCAAAATGTTCTTTAGTTCTTTAGGCTGTTTCAGATTTTTCAATTCCTCTTCTAAACTCTGTATCCTAGCTTCTGCTGCTTTGACATGCACCTCCCACTTCCTGCTTTCCATATCTATCCTCTCTTCCATTCTCATGCTAAGTTCTTCTAGTTTCTTTTCCCATTCATGATCCCTTTTTATGAGCTCTGCTGCCCAATCTTCCTTTGCAGTTTCCTGCTCCTGTCCCTTGGTTTTTCTTGTTGCTCTCTGGCAACCCATTTTTGTTTTATCCTGATTGCCTCAGAGTGGGAAACCTATGTAGTTCTGTATGTTAGGTTAGTAGTGTGTATGTCAGAGTGTGGAGGTGGAAGTAGTGGAGGAACTGTGGCTACGTGGGAGAGGAGTGGGCAGGGGTGGGGAGGGTTTAGGGTGAATGGGGGAGGGGAGGGTGATCGAGAGAGGGGAGGGATCAGGGGAAGTAGTGAGATGTCAGTGGGGGAGGGGGGGAGTGTGTGTGTGAGTCTGGATATGTGTGTGTGTG